AAGCAGGCACGTATCGTCACCTGAGGAGCCGTCCGACAGCCAGGCTGAGGCGCTGCACGGCTGCACCGCGCCGCCAGGGCCGACGCGCAGTGGAGCTCCTTCCTGGGCGTGGGCGGGGGTATCTACATGACAGAGGAGCAGAATCGCCCCCCCCCTCTCCTGTTCCACACACAGCTCTCTGCGCGTTGAGGATGGGGGAGGAGTTGTTGGCGGCTTGACGAAAAGGAGTTGGGGGAGGAGGGGGTGAACCGAGAGGGTGAACCAAGGGGATTAGTGTCCGACAGGAAAAGGACGGACTTGGCGTCGGCTTCTAGGATTTGGCCTGGGGCTGTACTGGCCTGCTCGCTGGCCATACAGAGCCAGGTGCTCTGCACGGCACCTTTAACGACTGGGAAACTGTGTCAGGCTTCAAAAGACCAGCAGCTGACACCCAGCCCCTCGCGGCGTCCTGCTCCCCGGCGTCGCGCCGGCATCCCCAGGCTAGAGTCCCCTATAGGACTCTGGACTCTACCCCAGGCCAGGCTAGCGGTGCAGAACCACACAAGCGTGTGCACCGAGCACTAGCACGGGGTCCTCGTCAATAACCAGGCTCTGTAAGTCTAGGGTGTCCAGTCCAGCAGCAGCTGGGCGACTTCAGTTGCATGACTTAAGTAACACAGCTGCTGCTCGACTCCCTAGTCAGTGCAGCAGCATGTGACTCGAGATGTGACTTCAGTTGGACGACTAACGTCGTACAGCTGGTGGACACCATTTTGTGGACATGTCGTAGTTACAGGGAATAGCTGCACCGCAGTCTATCATGGACCACGGGGCCATGGGGCACAAGACGTGTCCCTTAGTTACTCAGGTTTTTGGGTCGTCCAACTTAAGTCGCATAGTTGGTGAACATCCCCGATCCGATTTACAGTGTAGACAAGCCACCGCATGGTTGCCGAGCAGCATTGCCAGCTTGAGCAGACACACGGGGTAACCACCCGCACCTACCTGCTGTGGCAATGTTTGCGTAATTCAGTTTATGCACTGCGCTACGCCGAGACTGCGTCGGCACGGGATGCTTCAGACCATCACCTCGCCTATCATGAAAAGGGAAAGGTAGTACCTTCACATTATCACAGCGGTGGAGAGAGGGAGGGGGACTAAAAAGAAGGGGAAAATGAGCGAAAGGAAGGGGTACATTCCAACAGAAAAAAGGGAGGGGGAGGGGGATGGTCTTGTCAATCTCTTCCCAACGCGTTTTTCATCGAGCCATAACCAGCGACAGTCGGCATTCGCATCGCACCCGCTGGCGTACCCTCGCGCTTCCCCGCCCCGCTTTCAACTCCACACTCCTCTTTGTTTTACCTCTTATTCCTCATTTCGCATTTTCCGTCTCATGGGGCTCGAAGCGCAGCAGTGGGTGTCAAGAGCAGCCCCCGGACCCGGGCCGGCCTGGGCCCGTGGCCTGGGCCCGTGGCCTGGGCCTGACGGCGAGGTGGAGGTGCGCGAACGAGGAATGCCAATTACGGTAAATTAAGAGCGAAAATTTCTCGTATCGCATTGCCGCACCTGACTGGCTATGGGGGCTGGGGGCAGACGCCGCTGCGGGCTG